TTATAATGTAGTAGTTTCCATTTTCTTTTCCATTATCCATATATAACCCCAATATAGACCCTGTTATAATGTAGTAGTTTCCATTTTCTTTTCCATTATCCATATATAACCCCAATATAACCCTAAACCCTTAGCCCTTACGAACCCTATGATCCCTGTAGTTTCCATTTTCGTTTCCATTATCCCTATATAACCCCAATTATGGGGGGTTACCACAAAAGGAAGCATCATTGTCCACACGAAGGGCTGCAGCCTGCTTTCTTGAGGTCTGGGTCTTACATTATGTAGGTAGGGGTTATATAAGAATATATGTGTATATAGGGGTTATATAAAGGGTAATATTGGGGTTATATTGGGATAATGGAAAGGAAAATGGCAACTACTATAATGGGGTTGTATAAGGTTTGAAGTCGCTGGCCATGTGGGCAGCTTTGGTACGCTGACGAACTTCAAGGCTACTGTGCTGTTGATTACCTGTCCCAAGTCCAGACAAACCCTCTTGGTCTGTTTGGCACAAAGTAGGTCATGGGTATGTGTTTGCATGCGGCCAGTTTTGTTGGTCCTGCTGAACCTCGTCACATTCAAGCCAACAAAACCTCAGGGCAGAAGGCGAGCACGTTGATTTGGAACATAGCAACAGCAATCCCAGATGCCTCCCCATCAAACAATACAATGACAACAATAGCGCTAGAGCAGTCATAAGAAGGTAGTGGTGTCATTGTCTGGAAGAGCACGCTTCTCTCAGCAGAGAAAAGCAACATCATAAAAAAAAAGGTGGGTGCTCTGCAAATCCCAGAAAGATACTCACTATGATGACCCCACAAGTGACCCTCTCCCCTCGAGACACCTCATATGACTTCTACCTCAATCGTCCCTTTTGCCTGCGGCGGATGAATTTGAGAACGCTAACAGGCGGCTTCGGAAACCCATCGTAACCTGAAGAGTGACAATTTCTTGCTGAAGTACCATATAAGCTACCCTTCAATAGTCACATTCGTCCCAACGCTAGGGAAGGAAACAAGATAACCTTGGAGGGAGTTCGACATTCATTAGAACCTAAACCCTACGTCCCAAACCCTCTACATGAGGGGTTTGTGGAGATAGAGGACCCCAAATACAAATTCCGACATGCTAGAATCATCATAATGAAAAAAAGAAGTGCCTATTTCTTGAAGACCCTTAATCCTTCTTTCCATCTGGCCTATGTGTTCCGCCAGATTGACGCACCCCAAATATGTACATGCACAGTATACACAGTATATACATACACAAAAAGGTATGAATATAAGCGTACCCGTATAGATATATATGTATGTGCATATGTATATATATATGTGTGTGTGTGTACGTACATATGTATATGTATAACCCCAGGATATCTTTAGCACTACTAGTACTCGGAACCTAAACCGAAATTCACTTTGGCCAAGTCCTCCACACAGACCGTCGCCGCCGTCTTCTGCCGCTTGGCCGGCGGCTCGGGTGCGGCTGCAGCCGGCCGGCCGGGGCCTGTGACATAGGTTCCAAAGCAGAGTCCCATCAAAGGGGTTAAATGGGTTATATTGGGATAAAGGGGGATTAGGGCTTACAAGGGGAGGCCGGGAACCTACGTTTTGGGGCTTAGGGCTGTTGGGGTCTAGGGGTTAAAAGGTTCAGGGGTTTTAGGATCTAGGGCGGAAGGCGTAGAACAAGAAAGAAGCAAATGGACAATCACACAGGACATGCAATGGAAGCTAGGGTTCATTCAAAGAGTCGGAAAAGGGTTTAAGGGATCCAAGGGTTTGCGGTTTTTGAGGGCTTGGGGTTCTAGGACTTTAGGGTTTCGGGCCGTAGTAACACAGAGAAATTCAATCTTTTGTCCCCAAATTTGAGCACGCAATGCAGGTAGTCCCCCTTCGGTACCCCACAAGAGCCACAATCCTTCATAGATCCCCAAAAAAAGACCTGTAACAAATCAAAACCCTCCACCCATGCATCCCTATGCATCGATCGCAATCTCCACAGACCCCTCTAGACCCCGGCTTATTCCTCTGGTAGTAAGCCCCAGAAGCAGATAAACCCTTCCTACCCCCAGAAGTAGATTAGCCTTGCTTTGCTTCGCGCGCTGCTGCTAGGCGATTCAGCCGCGCTTCTGCCTTCGAAGAGCTTGCGTATGGCTCAGGATAAGGTGCACGTACTGAATTTTAGTGCTTGACGTCTCAGGGTTTGGCACACTGCAGGTACGCCCTATCCTGCCTAGAGAAAGTTCGGCGCGCTCAGCTCTAGTTTGGGAATCCAGGACTGATTTTTTGGGATTCAGGGTTTAATTGATTTCAAGGTTTGGGGCATATCAGTACGTGTAGGATATAAACAAAGATAGGGCCTTTTTTGGGATTGCGGTCAGGCTCAGGTTTATAGCCAAAAATGTTAAGGTAAATTCAGGGTTCAGGGTTTAGAGAACCCTCAGGGCTGAGAATATGGCGGCTTCCTAAGTACAAGGATACATACTATACGGCAAACGGAGCACGTACCGTGTGGGGTTGAAGCATATTCTAAAAAACTTTGATCGAAGGGTTCTCAAAGTCATCAGCAAGGATTCGGGTACTTTGGAGGCATAGAAAGGCATCTGGAGGAGTACCCTAAAACCCTGCTCATCAATCCCCAAACCTTGCACCTGAACCTTAAACCATGAACCGCAGCCTCAGCAATCATCGAAGGGCGGACTCCAGCCGACGTAGCTTCCTTGGCTTGGGGCAATGCGCCATCCCTTCCTGTAGAGAAAACTCTCTCCATTCAATCCACCCGACGAGAAGTAAAAGGGGGCATTCATTTCTGGGCGCTTGATGTCTTGCGGTTTTGCATCTGGGCATGCACACCTCTTGGGCACCAGAAGTTGTTTAGGGTTTTGGGGTTGAGGTTTTAAGGTTCAAGCACTACCTGTTTTGGCATGGGCAACGGACAACAGCTCTTTGCTTCCTGGGACGTCATCTGAAGCCATGACCTCCACATACAACTTTTTGGCCCAGAATATAACGTGGATCGGGGAATTCCTGCACTCTGCTGGCAAGCTCCTGGGACGCAGTAGTTCCCTATGCTTAGCCTCCAACTGGCCTTCTAGATGTCACCCCGCTTCTCGGTAGGGCCCCAACCCAGTCAACCTCAAGTCTACCCCAGCTCTGGGTTCCTTTCTAGGATGTTTCAAAGGTCTTGCTAATCAACATTCTTCAGTGGGCTTCACAATGAAAACAAGTGAAACGGTTCTGCAACACTACTCCCAGCTCAGGACTTGAGGTAACGCTTGCGGTGATCCAGACTTTGTACCACGCCTTCTCATCCGAAAGCCACTAGAAAAAGCCAGATGGAAGCTATTCCTATTCATGGAAAAATTGAAAGTAAAACAGACTGCCATCTGAAAACTTCATTATTGCGAAAAGCTTCAGAATGTCCAAACACATGGGCAAACAACCCCTACATCATCCCGCGAGTCTCACGCCCCTAAAAGCTCCTAGAAAGAAATTCATGACTTCCACATTGTATGCCAACCCCTTTCTCCTGCACAACTACCAAAGGCCCTACTGTGAACACCCATCCTACCCCACCCAAACCTCACCCCCAAACCCTAAACCTTGTACCCCAAACATACGGCAAACTTACCCTAAACCTACCGTAATTTACACCCACGATACCTACACCCCATTGGAGGGGCAGGGGGACTTAGCAAGTAGGTCAATGATGGGGATACCTAGGGTCACTAATGGATTATAGGCAAGCATAGCGGTTATTCACCTACTTGCTGAGTCCCCCTGCCCCTAAACCCCAAACCCTACATACTAAGGTAAAATCCATTTTCTTTCCGATTCCCTGATCCTCCTTGTACAAATGCACCTCCACCTTGCCGATCCCTGCATCCAGCCATGGCGCTCGCACGGCGGCCGCAAAGGCAACTTCGCTCTCCTCGTCCACTGCTTCGGCCTCCTGTAATAAGGGGTTTAGGGATTACGGATTAGGGTTTAAGGGCTTAAGAGATTAGGCTTTAGGGACTAGGGTTTAGGGATTTGGGCAACCCCCAACCGCCTCAACCCTAATGATAGAAAAGGAAAGTGAAACTGGGATTACACAGCCTATATAACACCAGTTGTTTTTTGGATTTTCCATGTTACAAATCACGATGTAACCAACGACTCAGGGAGTACATCGTAATTCATATCTAATAAGGACCCTTCCCACAATAGTTACAGGGTCCTCGTTTTGAGGATTGGTTGGGGTAAGCTGCAAGGCCCCCAAACATATTTGCAAAGCGATGATAAGGGTCACCCTTGAAAATTCATTGGGTCTGTGGGTCTGTGTTTTTAAAAATCCTGTAGCTCAGGCTGCTGAACAGTTAGCCATAAGATGAAGCATTATGGTGCTGGCGGGTGGTAGCTGCAATGTAGAGGCCTAGAAAATCAGAAGAAAATATCCGGGTAACCTACGATGTCAGGTCTAGGGTGTAGGGTTTACCCCTGAACCCTAAAACCCTTTTAACCCCAAAAACCTAAACCCCGACACCTTAAACCCCGGGCCTCCAGGGATATCAGGAGCTCTGTGGCGGCAGAAAGCTCGCACTCAGCCGCAAGCCTTGGATTCCAGGGTTTAAGGTTTAGGCTTCAAGGGGTTAGGGTTTTTAGGGTTTAGCATTTAGAGTTTAAGGTTTCTTGGGCTTTGGGTCCCGGGCACCTTAATTAAGGGCTATATTCCCTTCCAAACCCAGGGTACATGCCCTAAGGATACAAAGGAAAATTCCTTGAGGATTGCCAATTTCCAGGTGGCAGGGATACATGGGGACATATGCGAATATGTAGGGGGTAGGGTCTTCGAACGACGAATTATATAGGAAGCAAAAAGAAAAGTGAAATAGAAACTGGATTCATACAGGTGTCCACAAGCTAAATGATACTAGGATCCCGAATAAGATTTCAGGTACTTGAAGTTCCCTAATAAAGGCGTATCGAGCTTCCAGGGATTATGCCTTAGCAACAGGACTGTAGAGGTCCTGGCGTCATGCAATTCCACGCTCCAACCTGACGTCAAGGGGCCTGTAAACTGCATCCTCGTCCAGTAGCCTTTACATAAAACCAATAATATTGATGTAGGTTCGATTTTGTATTCCGTTCCTCCAAACCCCGAAACCTAGGACCTAAGCCTATGACAGTTTCCATGTTCCTTTCCATTCCTTCCTTCCCTACTACCCAAAACTCCTACACCGAAAGCCCTAAAACCTACACCAAGATCACAAAGCCATATTGCAGTTTCCATGCTCTTCTTTTCCAATCCTTCATCCTCTACCCTAAACCCCAAATCCTCAACCCGACGTCTCCAATAGTTTCCATGTTCTTTTCCAAGCCTTAATCTCTCACAAGCAACCAGCCTTACCTTTGGTCAGCTAGGAATGAAGCAGGAATGGATCCTTACAGTGGTCCCTAAATACCCCATTATAATAGTTTCCATTTTCTTTTCCATCCCTTCCAGATTCCAAACCCTAAACCTAAACCCTATATAACCCATTATAGTAGTTTCCATTCTCTTTTCCATTCCTTCCTTCCCAGCTAACGAAAGCCTAAACCCTATACCCTAAATCCTAAACCGCAAACCCTAAACCCCTCAACCCTAAACCCTAAGCAACAAGCCAAGGGACGTACAGAGTTGCGCTTCAGCAGCTGCCAAACTGGCCTGGCCGAAAGGCAAACGATCAGCTCAGGACTTGAGATAGCATTAGGGTTTAGGGTTTGGGGTTTAGGGTTTGGCGTTGAGGGATAGCATCGTGGGACCTGAAGAAACAATACTATTAATGTCATTCTCAAGCGATATTTGCGGAACTATGACTAATTGTTTCTCGATTTTTAGAGGAAACAGCATTAGCACTGGTCTTGCTAGAATAGTTGGGAATTTCTCACATCAGTGCCTAGATAAGTACATTTTAGACCCCTTATCGGGTTCAGGGTTTAGGATTTGGGGGTTTCAGGATGCCCTGGCATTTCTGTCGAGGCAATGCTTTACGTGGACCCCACCCTGTAATAGTGACTATAGGGGATAATAAGGATTATATTAGGGTCCTCTTATATTATAGTCCTAGTATAGCACTATTACAGGGTGGGGGGTCCTCCTAAGTAATGCTGCTCTGCATCCAAACCCTGAATGCTGCAACCTCGAAGCTGGAGCCACTTCTGCTATGATAACCGCGAAATGTTCTTGATCGTCCCTTTTTGTCCTTGCGTTGAATCTTCCAACCGGCTTTCAAGAGGCGCCTTGGTAGCTCTGGTTTGAAGGTTTTTTTTTCTAAAGGCATGAGGCAATCAATCTCCCGCCTCTTCCACACCGCAGGCGCGCGCCGCGGCCAGTGCTTCCCGCAGTTCAGCTTCCTGGCCGGCCTCGTAAAATTGTGGGAATGCGGAGACTAGTTGCTCTACACCAGGCCCTCAGCCAAACACCCTGAATTTCGATGCTTGCGCCTCCATGGCTTCTGCCAGGGCCTCCTGGTGAGGGATGGACACGGATCTCGTATTAATATTAATACGCAACCTACTAAAAGCTAACACTGATGACAATAATTCTAACAATAATGGGGCTTAAGTAGCCTTGGGGCTGAGATTCTGCAACCTACTCTCCCCAAAATGTCAACTCCTGTGTAGCAAGGACTGATGCAACGGACCCCATATGTATTGCAATACGGTAACCCCTGGATACATAAACCTCATAAGAATCGCCGATAACCCTGCCAGCGGCACGTTTTCTGGCCAATTAAGGGTTTCGGGTTTTGGGGTGACCTGCCGCCAACAGAAACAGTCTGGCTTTGCCCTCACCACAAACATGCAAAACCCACTTTCTTTCAGCCAACCGTCCTCTATCCTTAACTGCATAGCTGCGACACTCCGCATCCGAAAAGCCAAACCCTATACCCTAAACCGCAAAACCCTTTACCCAAAAACTTTTACCCCAAAACCCTTTTTGCCTCTATCTGTGCCCGAAACCGCAAGTTCCAATCCAACACCTCGGGATCCTGAAACTTGAGCACTCAGCCCTCACATACAAGATCCCCATTGGAGGCAGTCCCCATAAAGCAACGGCTTATGCTTGGGGCTTGGGCCATGTAAGCATGCTCACAATTACCCTTTCAGGGGTCATGTACCTGAGATCCCTGTGACATCCCTTGCAGGAAGCCAGAAATTACTGGAAAAAAGCACAGGTCCCTATTACTTCTCCTTATGACCCTTAGAACAACTGGTCCGAACCGTCCAACCCCGCGAAAGGAGTTGGTGGGCGCTGAAACAAGGAGAACTAATGAAACACAGCTCGCCAGTCAGCCAATTCTACTACCCTCCACTCCAAGGTTCCCCCTTGGTTTTTTAACTATCCTAAAATAACCTTAACCATGGAAGAACCTAGTGCGGGACGCATGAGGACCCAAACCCTAAACCCTACTTTTTTTTGTGCTTTAGGTCGTTTGGGGTTCAGGGTCTGCGGGGTGGGCTTAGGGTTTCAGGATTTCCGGGCTCGATGTCAGGTTAGATGGTTAGGAGAACGAAGCCCTTACCCTAAACGCAAGGTCTGAAACCCGAAGGTTTAGGGTTTAGGGTTTTGGGTTTAGGGTTTTGGGTTTAGGGTTTAGGGACCTTAAAACCTAAGCTCTGAGTCCTGCACAAAACCCTCTCTGGCACATGCTCAACCCCAAACCCTAAGTCCAAAAATCTTACGTAAACCTTAAATCCCAATCCCTAAATCTTGAATCCTAAATCCCAGACCCTGAGCCCTAAGCCCTAAA